CAGGCCAGTGAGATACTGTTTGCGAATGCTGGCCTGTGAGTAGCCCCAACAAATTATTTTCTTCCATTGATGCCAGCAGGCACCCCCAAGTAAGAACCCAACCCCGCAAGTGATGCTCTGTAGCCAAACAGGTGCCAAAGGATAAATGTGCTATATTAACATGAATACTAATGACGAACACACTGCAGTAGTAAGCACATCATAGATACACACAATATTCTCTATAGAGTCTGAACACAGATATAAAATAAGTTATACTTGTTTCATTTTTCCATCCCAGGAAGAGCAAAACAGACAAAGTGACTATCCGTTGCCACAGAGCAAGCTGGGGAGAGACCATGAAGGAGGGTGCAGCACACTGAGTATGGTGTGGAGTTGCAAAGGACACAGCAGTCACTGGGACTCTACAGGGAACAAGACTCTAGGCCTCTTAATTGGCCTTCTGAGAATCAGCACAAGGTCTTGCCTGGTAAGAACTGGTGGCTGCATTTGAGCTGGGATGACTCAAGCTAATGGGTGGGAGGCCACACAGGGACTAGCACAGAGAGTATCCAGCAGCCCAGCCCACGCTCCTGCTGGGTGGTTGGACTTCTGCGATGCTAGGAACAGGGGGTGCATAGCCAGAAGGCACAGTTTGCTTCTATTAAGTGACAGATGGCCAGACTGATGGCCCACCAAACGCTGGCTGGTCCTTCTCCCTGGCCAGCTGGTGCTGGGTGGCTGTGAGGGGGCCTGCACACTCCTTTGTTCTCTGTGATTTGCCAGTGGGTAGCAAGGCTGGGATCCTGCACATTTCATAGCTCACAGACAAGTCTATAGGTCTGAGGTCTTGGCTTTGCATCTTCTCTCCAATATGTGTGACTTCTGTGAGTTTAGAAAAGTCATAAACTCTTTTGTGTCTCAGGGTCCTCCTCTGCAAAACAGGGGGCTAACAGATCCTTACCTGGGGCATTAATTAGCAAGGCCCCCAGAGAGTAATGCATGTAAGCTGCTAACACAGCTCCCGGGACATGGGAGGGGGTGAATAATATGAGTCAGGTATGACACCCAGACATCACAGGCCCGGTGAGAACAGGACTATGATCAAATCCATACACCAGAATGACTTTGATGAGATTCTAGCAGACGACCAAAAGATGGCTTCCATCCTCCTTCCTCTCAGTTTTTCCTCTTCTCTCTCCCTATCTGTGATCCTTTGAAATGAAGTGCACACAGAGTTCAAAGCCAGGAAGACAAGAGCCTTAGGATTAGAAAGAATAGAGCGCACAGCACAGGCCAGCATCTCTTCAAGTCTGGGCCGCAGTGCTCGGCGGCTACCGTCTAACTCAGCTCTCCTGCCTCGCCACCCTTTATTTCTCAGGTCTCCTCACCCCTGAGTAGATTTCTTATTAGGAAGGCAAAGAGGGAGAAATAAAAGCACAGAAAAGAGTGAAGTGAAAATAAAATGAGTTACCTATTAAATGAAAAGCCTTTCCCATTTGCTTGGAGCCCGAGTACAGAGGCACTGGGGAATAGGTCTGGGTGGCCATGTGTGTCAGTGACTCGCCCCGCGTCTCTGGGAAGTGGGAGATAGGAGGGTCACAGATGTGGAGACACGGGCTTGTACCCTAAAACCTGGGGTGCAGCTGTCCTCTAACAGTGCTAGGAACTTGGAAAGGGGTCCAGACAAGAATCAGCCTGGAGATGTGAGCATAGCTATACCTTCTCATCTACAGTGAAACTGTCAAGACGTGTGTGCATGTGTGTGTGTGCGTGTGCATATGTGGTCACTGCTCCCGCACCCTCCTCTAGCACTGCCTTTCTGAAGCTGGGCCTGCTCCTGTCACTCTGCAACTTTCCTCTTGGATGGGGGCAGGAGGTGGGCAGGCAGCTCATTGGGCAGCTCGTGTCCCTCCAGCTTGACCTTGATGAGGTGGTTGGCTAGTGCGAACTCCTCATCATCCAACATGCCATCCTTGTCGATGTCCGCCAGCTTCCAGATCTTGCCCAGCACACTGTTGGGCAGCTTGGAGCGCACCATCTCCTTCTTGGCATTAGCACCTGTGATCTTGCCATCCACGGGGGACAGGGTGTAGAAGATCTCATCATACATGGGCTTGTCCCGGGCCACCACCCACTCTGCATCATCGATGCCCTCCCCAGCCCCCTCCCCATAGCCATGACCAAAGGGGCCGTGCAGGGTGCCCTCGAAAGCTCCACCCTTCACCATCTGCACAGGCCGCTGGCTCTCTTCCTGGCGCACCAGCACCATGAGCTGGGCGATGTCATGTGCCAACATGTCATCCACCACCTCCAGCAGCTTACTCTTCAGTGGCTGGAATTTGCTAAAGTCTTGGGCCTGCAGCTGGTCCTGGGAAGACAGAGACAAAGAAGGTGGGGATAGACAGAAGGGGATCTTCCATTTGTCAGGAAGGGGCCTCCTACTAGGTTGGAATGCTCACAGTCCCACTGCTTTCCAAGGAAAGGAGTCTGGCTCAGAGACTGCGCTGATCTGTTAGAGACGTCACAGAATCATCACAAATATGAGAAGGGGGAGAAAAAGGGCCATACCGGGCTGGGCTGAGGATGGAATTTTCAGGAGGAAGTAGAACAGATGAAGGGGCTGGCAAAGAAAGGGAATTTAAACAAATATGGTTTGATCTATTTATTTAGAGCCCTTCCTTT